TACTAGAAGCCTACCTTTTCCATTTTTCTAGATATTTTTCTTACAGTGTACTAACTGATCAACAATCACAGGTACAACAAGGTGTATCATAAATGTACAATTATTAAATTATTATTAATATTATCAAATTGAACAATTGCAAATGGCAATAATTTAATTCACGTGATGTGTGTACTGCTAGGCATCTTTGGTTTCCTCTTTTTGTGTAATTTAAATGGTAAATTGTGCCTTTTTATCGTTTGAGTCACTTACCAAAAGTTGCTAAAAGTTGCCAAATAAAATTTAAAAATAGCTAAATTTGTTGCTAGGTGCTTTTGGAAGAAAAAGTTGCTAGGGTAGTCTAAAAAGTTGCTAAATTTAGCAACAAAATTGCTAAATTGGCAACACTGGTCCCGCGCTGCGCTCTGTTGCGTCGGGTCTCGCGGGATTAGGTCTCTAATCCACTGGCACTGGACTCGACAATGCGTGTGCTACATCCTTTTTACAATCTCTCTAGATTATAAAACACTGAATTCTGTCAGCAATGTAACGCGGCAGTAACGTATAGAGACCTCGGCTTGTAACTATACTCTAATTACTATTTTGAAAATTATAACGCGTTAAATTACTCCGTACTAAAAAAAAAATCTAATTACAGTAACGCGTTACTGCCCAACACTGCTCATATAGTGGTGGGGATAGTCTTTTTAAGCCTCTGATTCCACTATAGCCTGATTCTGATGTTCCAGGGACCCTTTAGGCTCGGTAGTGTGGTAAGACTTTTGTCTCATTTTGAAAATATACACGTTTCTGAATCAGTTAATATTGTACAATGTCCTTTAAACAAGTAAATTTTACTTTGGCATTTCATTTGATTTTTGATTTTGTCTTTTAGTTCCTTGTAGTTGGAATAGTGTGTATTCCTCAAGTCAAGTTTCCCCATTCTTGTCTGTCAAAGCCATATCTTACATTATATTTGTGGTTTTGACAGTTCATGGTGCACATTTTTAATATACTTTGTGTTTTACAGCTGATCATCACAATGATTCTGAACGTATTCAGTGCTGCATTGGCTTTTATAGCTGTTATGCTGTATTTAATGAACCTGCCAATGGTATAGTCAAAACTGCAGCATCAGCTACAATTATTATTCATTATATGATTACAGTGAGTCTCCTTCCCCAATAGAAAAACAGAAGGTAAACCTGTCTGTACTACAAGCATCTCGCTGAGGTAATGATTTTGCGTTAGGCAAACTATATCAAATTTTCTTCACAGTTTACTTTACAGTTAAAGGGATAGTTTCCATAATTAAAAAAATGAATTATGTCATACTCACCTCTGCCGGTTCTTCAGCTCTGTGTGACCATCAGTTTCTGTGTTTTGACTGGAAAAGCTTTGTGCAAGAAGGATGAAGATGCAAAGGTACTGAATCAGCAGCACTATTACAACAATCAATCAGTCAGATCCACTGATCGTGAGAGTTTCAGAGAAAAATAATGTGTTTTTTTAACTTTAAACCGCATAAACACATTTCATTACACCGAATACACAAAATAATGTTCTTTTTAGCAGCATCATATGACCCCTTTAAAGAAATGTTGGTGCACTCGATGAGAAAACTAGTAATGCTGTTTAATAATAATGCATGTTTGTGAAGGAGAACGAAATGGATTTTCTGGTGTATGAGTTTTTTTTTTGTGGGAAGGTTGAAGTTCATCTGTTCTTCTGCAGAATGTCTCTGACAATGTCTCATGATGAGGATTTGACCGTCATCTCAAACCCAAAGAGCAAATGGCCAGTACTGTGTCAGATTCTGGGTTTTCTGTGCTCCAGTCCGATGTGTTCTGTATCCCAGTATATGAACGGGAAGCTGACGCACATCCACACAGCTCTTGGAGTGAGTCAAACACATTAATTGCAAAATACCTTTTTGATATTTTCAGGCCTTCTGATTTTAGAATACTTTAGACAGTTTTTATTTGAACATTAAAAAAGATAATATTTCACAATTAGGTTATGATGCAGTGCAATGTATTAAAATGTTTTTAAAACACTTAAATGTACCGAAAACATGACATTCAATTTATGTATTTGGATCCTAAAAAATCATTAGAACTAAGCTGCAACTTTTAGTTCCAGTTTTTAGTTGCAAATGTTAATACAACCAAATTAAATTTATACAAACAATGTTATATAAAATGAACACTTTAAATGGCCACAACAATGAAAATTTTCAGTTGTTTGACTAAAATAAAATATTTTGGAAACGTTGCAAAAAAAATAACAAATTATCTCAAGCTGTCAGGACTTACAATGTCATTGCAGTAGCTGTGTACATTCTTAATTTTATATCTTGAAGTTTTTCAGATTCCTGACAGCTGGTGGCATCACTATATTTTTCTCTTGTTTCATAGATTGTGCAAATTATAATTAGTGTCATCAATATTGCAGCGGAGAATTTGTTCTCATGGGTTAGGTCCTATAGTATATATACATTTTCTCATGGACCATTTTGGCTTGGTGGTGTGGTAAGACTTGGGTCTCATTTTGACCTCATTATATTTAACATTTCATTTGATTTTTTCATAAATTTTGAAAGCACAGATATGTTGCTTTGTTTTCTTTTGTCTATTAGTTCCTAGTAGTTGGAATAGTGTGCATTCTTCAGGCTATGTTTCCCAGTACTTGTCTGGTGAGTATCTATGAAAGCCATGCCTACATTATATCTGTGTTTATGATATTTCTGGCTCTGTTTTTATAATATTGTTTGTGTTTTACAGCTGGCCATCACAATGATTCTGAATGTAGTCAGTACTGCACTGGCTCTCACAGCTGTTGTGCTGTATTCAATGGACCTGGCCGTGGAAAATAGTACTGCAACTATATTCTGCAACTCCTATGTTTATTTTTCGCAGGTTGATTACAAGGATTTGCCTTTCACAACACAGAAACAAAGGACCAAAATCTGTTTAGACAGTGTAAGACAAGCTACAACAAATATTTTGATAGTCAACTAAAAAAAATGAAAATTATGTCATTTTTATTTAAATAAGCTGACACTCTGATCTTTACTCACTGTCCTAGATGATGCTGGGAGGACTAGATATCATAATTATATTGCTGTCGGTCCTTCAGCTCTGTGTGACCATCAGTTTCTGTGTTTCGACTGGAAACGCTTTGTGCAAAAAAGATGAAGATGCAAAGGTACTGAATCAGCAGCACTATTACAACAATCAATCAGTCAGATCCACTGATCGTGAGAGTTTCAGAGAGCTGCTCTGTGCATTTGTTTGTGGTTTTGTAGTCAGTGGAGGATCCAGAACTTCACAAGCCACTCTTGAAGATGCAAATGTTGGTCTAGGATGCTAGAGAGACAAGATAAACACACAAAAAAAATTATTTTATTTGAACATCTCATCGTTTTTTGTATGCGATTTAAAGCAGATCTGCTCCATCTGCAACACTGAAGTAATTAAATTACATGATTAACACTTATTTCCAGTGTTACTGCTCTATGGGTGTTACCTTTCATTAACCTTTAATTTCAAGCTTTGTTGGGGCTGCTTTTGTTTTAAATAAATGAGTAGATCACTCTGGCATCAACCTTTTTTGTGTTTTATTCATGTTTTAGGTTCTCACTAAAAAACAAATATTTATTAATATAGCAAATTGTTTATCGAAAGCAGTGCTTCACAAACTTTTCAGACCAAGTATAGCATCTTTAATCAGAGTAAACAAGTACCACCTCAGTGGGGGCGTGAATGTGAAATTATGTTCAAATAGTTTATGGCATTGTTACAGTTTAAAAAGTATTTAAATAAAAATAATGAATTAACTCTTTACCTTCAGATTTATTTTCAAAGAAAATTTGATCTTTTGATATGACCCCTTTAGGGATTGTGTCATATTGTCTACTGAAGCAGGAATTTGGGGAATAGATACAGTCAGCTAGCGAGGAACTGCCAACCTTCAATGCCTTGGAGCACCAACAACAATAAAAATCACAACAGCCATTAAGAATAGAAAATAAATGCATATTTTATAAACTAAACATATTCCTAACTTTTTCTCATTTCTTACGTTACAAGGAAACCACAGAACACCCAACCAAAAGTCCAAAAATGTGTTAAAAAAACAGATATTGATAAATTAACCATTACAGAAAGTAAGCCTTTGTTTGTCATCGATCATTTTCTGAAAACAACACAAGCGTATGTGGCTTCATTGAAAATTGCACCGCAACATTACTACTTTAAAATGAACTTCCTATGCTGCACTATGACTTAATATTTGATCATATCAACAGTGTTTATTATGTCTTCAGTTACATCCTGACTATAGACCCGGGTTCTTTCAATATCAAGAGGAACAAAAAGGAAACATGAGATTCACTGACAGAGACAAAAACAGCTCCACCTTCAACAGATCAGGATCAGATCAGAGTCAACCTTCAGTCTGCGTTCTAACTTAGTCAGTTACTCATAAGGTGAGTCTGAGTTTACTGTGTTTCTTAAGATCTGTAAAATGCACGTTATTAAAAAATTAAAAACATTTTATAAGGTAAACGGTGTGACTTGAATCTCAACAACTTCTTTTTAGCAAACACACACGTCGATGTTCACTTCTTAAAGGGGTCATATGATGCGATTTCATTTTTTCCTTTCTCTTTGGAGTGTTACAAGCTCTAAAATAATCAAAGTTATTTGTTTTGCTTGGCATTTTGTGTCTCAATATTGTAGTGAAATGATTTAAAGAACATCTCCTTCCTTCTGCAACGCTCTACTAATTAAATGAGGGCCAGCTTTACTAAACAGGGCAAATTAGCATGAGAACGCAATCGCATAAAAGCGCCGATGGGAGAGGAAAGTTCTAATCTGATAATGCGCAAATTAAAGAACACAGACGCAGTCAGCGCATTTCCATAATAATCAACACAATCTACCAAGAGCAGCACAAATTAGCAAACAGAGCCGAGGATTTTTTTTTTTTTCTTTGGCATTAGATAATGACGCAAGTAGCCTACCAGTAACTGACTATACTACAGGCTACTGACCACAGCAAACCTTAGTAACACCTGCATGATTCATTTGAATAGTAGACTACTCTCCTCCTATTTGCATCTAAGGAAAACTCCGACAAATGCATATGTAAAAAGCTTAGCCGCAAAAATAACTGTGTACACGCATTTTCATCGCTAATTTTGCCCCTTAGTAAATCCTGACAGTAGTTTTTTTTTAACTCCAAAAGAGGGATTTTGCGTAAGATGTAGGCTAGTAAATTTGGTCCTGGTGTTTAATTAAACTTTTTTTTACGAACAAAAGTGGTGTTATAATTCATTGTTTTCTATATATAGATACAGATTAGTGGATGTTATCTTTTATTACCTTTTCAATTTTGTTGCGATCTTTGTGGCCGCTTTTATATAGGCTAGGCCTAATGAGTGGAGCACTTTGGCATCAACCCTTTTTGTGTATTTTTTCTTACGACTTCCCTATTGTTTCACATACAACAATTAAAATATTTTAAAAATAGAAGATATTTTAAAAGACGTAAAAGTTTTATTTTATTTTATCTTAAGAAGATACTATGTCTGCTTTTGAAGAAATTGATAGCAAAATTTTGGAAGAAATAGTACAGCACCTTAAATCGTCAACCTGCTATCTTGACACACTTCCCACATATTTTTTCAAAAGGTGCCCTACAATAAAGTCAACAACCAATGTTAATCGGAACCCCTCTTTTATAGATAAGAACTTCAAAATATCTTCTCTTGTCCTAAAACGTGAAGCAGATTTTTATTCATCAGTAGCTATGATTCAATAGCAGCTGAAAACCCAAAGTTACAATAGCATGCCCATTTCTATATGGAGAAAAAAAACTCGATTTTTAAATGGAATTTTTAAAATGGAAAACATGCCTAAAGTTGTTGTGTGGGATTATCCTCTTTAAATAACTTAAACCCAGGACTGGTTGGGTGGAGAAATGATGCCTGAAGCTCTGGCTGCACAGTGAAAAGATCCAAAGCCTCGGAGCATCGGCAACAGCGCCATCTACTGCCTCATATGACTTACAACAGCCATCGAGCCTGGAAATGTAATGCATAGCCTATATTCATAATTAAAATGTGCCTAAATGGAGGAACGGTTTTCTAGCTGGGAGGAAAAATTATATATGTAGCCTACACTCTAAAAAATGCTGGGTTAAATATAACCCAGCGCTAGGTTAAAAAGGGACAAACCCAGCTATTGGGTTGTTTTGACCCAGCGGTTGGGTTGTTTTGACCGAGCGGTTGGGTTCAAAACAACCCAACCGCTGGGTCAAAACAACCCAATAACTGGGTTTGTCCCTTTTTAACCCAGCGCTGGGTTATATTTAACGGAAATAATTAAAAGCTGGGAGGAAAAACGATTTCAATGCTTTTTCGAGCGAACGCAAAGCTTCTTCTATTCACAGTTCAAAGTTTTTCGGGGGAACTCAATACTTATAAACACTTACTGTATATCACCTATATATTTTATATAAATAGCCTATTTTTTTTGTATATTTTTCTTATAAACACTTTACTGTATATCACCTATATATTTTAATAAATAGCCTATTTTTTTTGTATATTTTTTCCTTCCATCTCGCTCTCTCTTTCTCTCTCTCAAAAGACAGAGCGAAGAAAAGACCAATCAAAAGTCCAATGAATTACCCAAAAAGTACAGTGTAGCCTACACTCTTCACATTTCACAATTCAACCAACCATCGGAAAACCAACCACTGCCAACGTACTTGGAAAGTTTAGACGCGCAGCGAAACGCTCACATGATTTTAAAAAGTGAAGCTGAATTCTATCATGTGATTTTTTTTAAACAGTGCGGAGCTTCATTGAAACCTGCGCTGCGTATGCTAGGCTACTTGAGCCTCGTACATACGAGTTTGACTGACAACCGGAGAACAACAGATACATACGTTTCATGAAAATATGTCAGATCGTCTTTAATGTCGTGGTTTCATATTTGTGAAGAGTGTGAACAGTATAGCCTATCTTATGTCTTCAACGATATCCTGTAATTCCTGTTCTTTACACTTGGGTTCTTATTACATTTCAAGTGGAACAACAAGGAAATATGAAACTAATCACTGACAGGAATCAGGGACAAAACAGCTCCACCTTCAACACATCAGGGAAGAGTTAGGCTATCTCGCAGTCTGGACAGTAAAATATACACAATTGCTCATAAGGTGAGTCTAAATAAAATTCACGTGCTATTGAAAAAGTAAGAACCATTTTAAAAATAAAAAAGTGTGACTAGAATCGCAACCATTTGCTTTTATAGCAAACATGCGCAGGTGAATGTTCACTTCCTCTTAGGGAATCGTTTATGCAGTCGACGAGAAACCAGCAATGCTGTTTCAATAATTATGCATATTCTAGAACGTGTTTGGGAAGGGAAACAAACTTATGAATTTACATAACTAAGAAACGATTCATTTTTGTCGTTGTGATTTTCTGATGCATGAGCCCTACTTGTTTCTTTGTCTTGTGGGAAGGTTGAAGCAGCATGTCTCTGACAGTGTCTCAGGGTGAGGGAATGATGGTCATCACCGTCACCTCAAACCCAAAGAGCAGATGGCCCGTACTGTGTCAGATTCTGAGTTCTCTGTGCTATGGTCCAGTGTGTTTTGCATCTCAGGATATGGAAGAGAAGCTGACAGACACCCAGAGAGTTATTAGGGTGAGTGAGAGACTTGCACTGATTAAAATCTTGATGTCATTAAAAAAAAAAAAAAATACAGATTTAAGATGCTTAGGTATGTTCCCATATATGTAGTCTACTCTTAATTTAAAAGTTTAAAAGCTGGAGGTCTATTGTTCTCTTATTCCATAGATTGTACAGATAGTAGTTGCAGTCATGAATCTTGTGTTGGGATGTTTTGGCATGATCTTCTTTTTTGTTACCACTTCGGCCAGCAGTATGGTAAGACATTCCTCATTCTGTTCATGTTTATGTTTCTACATCAGATCATGCAGAAAAATGAACATGTACAGTATATAGCATAAGACTGCAGCATAACAAAAATGAAGAGTTCTGAATAATTTTGCACACACACACACACACACACACACAAACATATATTCAGTCATATGCTGTAGTTTCATGAAATATGATAGTTTTATGAAATTAATATGGGTGTGTTGAAATAAAAATTCCCCTTTACTTTCCTTATGTGCAATTCATAAATTCACCCACTTAACTTTTTCTCTAGGTGTTGTCGGTTCTTCAGCTCTGTGTGGCTATCAGTTTCTGTGTTTTAACCATAAAATCTTTGTGCAAGAAGGGTGGGAGTGCAAAGGTACAGTATTGTGCTTATAATAAACAGAA